AGAGATCATACAGATAGTGGGTTAGGTGTGAGGTAGCATTATTACTTTCTTGTAATGTGGGCACACATCATACAGAGAGGAATTCCCTATTCATATACCGAATGGGCAGCAAGTGTCACTTCAGGCAAATATAAATCTTTGGCTATGTTTCTGTGGAAAGCTTGGGAAGACTGAGCTCCAGCTGCTATAAAGGGAATTAATTACTAAACGACCTGTGCCTCCAGAGCTTTAATGACACTGCTCCAGTCAAGGTGCTAAACCCTCCATAAGATAGCACTGCCTGGGTGTGTATGCTCCCCTTTCCTCCCAAAAGCTTTCCAGCCAGGCTGGGCAATTCAGCTGGGCAATTATCACATTGAATCTCAAGACAGCTATATCGAAAATCAGTTGTATGCATTCCTTGCCCTAGGCTGAGCTGTGATAGGTACATACTCTCCAAGTGCCTATGGGAGGGACCTTGAAGAGTTTTCCTGTAAAAGTTTACCACGTGATAGTGTTGGTGTTGAAATATTGCAGAGTTTCTGGGCTCTGCACAGGAGATTTGTAGGTAGAATGTGGTGCTTGGAGTCCAGAGAGAGACATACAGAACTGCTGCCTCAGCACTTACAGCTGAACATGCACTGCAGAAGCTCCTCTGATGCTGAGACACTCAGACTGCTCAGGTCAGGGATTTGTGTCCCTGCATGCTCTGCCTGTGCATTCGTGGGTTTGTGCACGTGGGGGAGTACGAGTTGGCAGCTATTCTGCAGAGCCAGTGGAGCTGACTTGAGGTGATGGTTTGGGACACGCGTATGGATGGGCCCTTCGGAAAGCATTTGTGAGCAGTGAGATGATGCCTTGGCAGTGTGGGTCTCTCTCAGGCACCCACTGTTCTGTGGTGCCTCAATTCTTGTTTAAGGGAAGGCAGTTGCTATATTTATGGCAGAAATTTGTGGTCACTGGGGATTTGTCTCCGTGATCAAAGGCTCAGTTAACAATCGGCTTCCTCTGTAGGACTATGAGTTACTGTTTTCCTGGTCCCTAGTGTTTACTTCAGGTTTTTCAATGCATTGGAATTGGTATTGGCCTTGTCTAACTTTATGCCTGCTCAGAGACCTGTTAGCTTCCATCTGTAACTCTGCTGGTTTGTGGAGTGAAGCAGGCACTAAATAATGTGAGACTTTCCCCCTCCTACACCTCTCCATTATCTCTGTCTGGGGCCCATGGCCTCACTTACATACCTGCTGTAATCAACAAGATGACCAGCCCTTTTCCACCCCAAATCCAGCCAGCTGAATACGGCATGATCCACTTATCTCACATCCAACTTGTTCCCCAAAACCAGTTACCCATGGACTAAGCTTAGGCAAACAGGCTCGTTTAGTTGGAAATTGGCCATTTGCCAATTGCCTTGGAGTTAGGGATCAGCAAGGCTTTTCCCTATTTAGCAGACACAGTCTTGGAATAGTGTTTTCCTTCTTGTTTGGTATCTCTAAAATAGGATGGTGTGGTGTCCATTGAAAAAAGAGGCTCTGGACACGCTGCCTGTGAGATTATAATGTAAATTGATAAGTGTACTTACCTACAGCAAATGCCAGCCCTACTAAAGAAGGATTACATACAGATGAGGACTTAAAAACTTAGAAAATATTTGCCTAATATTTTACAGGAGGTGTGTTGCCATTACTGAGCAACTGACTCCCAGCAAATTGCATCCAGGCAAGTAGAGTACAACCAATAAATACACCATCAGGGGAGGAAAATGGGTGCTTTGGTGACTCCTATATCCTGCAACACCTGTTCAAAACCTTCATTGCAGACAACAGGAGCATAAGACAAGCATTTTCCCCTATACCCTTCAGATATATTCTGTGAATCACCAAGTCAACACTATTCAAAACAATTTCTGTTAAAAAATAGAGAAAGAAATGGTGTTTGACATAAGTTTGACACTTATGGTACTTAAACACGGTGATTATGACAATTTTGCCCTGTGCTTTCGTTTGAAGGTAATGAACAGCCCCTTGAACAACTTTAACTGCAGATGGCACAGTAGCAACACCCTTTCCTGGGAAAAAGGGAGCAGGTAGCAAGAGGGCCATAAAGAAAATGTTTCCTTGGAATCTGGCATGAATTTTGCCAGAACAGTCTGCTGGAGCAGGTAGGTCAGGCAGAGGTTTGGTGATGACACTGATGAGTTTCTGCTGCAGACTGGGGCTTCACGTGAGCTGTTGGGGTGGATTTTTCTTCAGATTCCTAATATACTTGTATTTGTCTTACATGTTTTAAGCCCATGTCAGAGTTCTGCAGTTTAAAGACATCTTCAAATTGCCATTTACAGCTGAGGCCCTATTGCATTTATGTATTTACTGCAAAGAAAAGTCTTTGGCAGTGTCAGAGACTCCCTGTTGGAATGGAAGCCATAAGAGGCTGCAGTGAAGGCTCTTTGTCCATACATTCAGGAGTAAGCCCTCAGGCTCGTTGTGTACCCTGAGACATTAATTAATCAGTTGGTGTGGTGTAGGGGCCACCTGTGTATTGGCCTCCTTCTGATGCTGTAACAGCCCTATTACTGTTGTAGTTATAATATATTAGACCTAATTAATTTTCCCTGGTTGCCACCTGCTTCTGCTTAGATTAAGCACTAACGAGCAGTTGACTGTAGTTAATGAGCTTCTGCAGCAAGTAATTCAATTTCTTCATTGACTAAAATCACTTTTTTTTTTTTTTTTTTTTTTCTTTCTGGGCACCGTGCTCCGTCTCCCTGGGATATTTGGCTCCCCAGTGTGTCAGGGAGGATCCATCTCCATCAGCAAGAGATTGCCGCAGTGGGTGCTGTACAATCCTCCTCCACTGAGCAGGGGAGCTGTGCTTTTGTCCGCAGCTTTCCACACTGCTCTATAGATCAGTTCAGCTGTGTCTCTTCTACTGGTGACATGTCCAGCCAACCAAGCCAAGCAGCCCATTCTCTGCAGCTGTGATGTTAACTTCCTTGCAGCAATTTGCTGTGTACTGGTGCTTTTGGTGAGTCCTGCTCTCATAGGGCTATTATGGTAGTTCTTCCTGTGTTGTCTCAGATCATAGAATCATGGAATGGTTTGGGTTGGAAGGGACCTTAAACATCATGCCAGTTCCATCATGCCATGGGCAGGAACACTTTCCACTAGACCAGGTTGCTCAGAGCCTCATCTAACCTGGCCTTGAATACTTCCAGAGATGGGATTTTTGACAATAAAAATTATTGTATGGGTTGCTGGTGAGGAAGAGGATCTGCTATGTGCTCAGATATTTAAGAACTGTATCACCATTTTTCTGCTCTCCCATAGGGCTTTAGGAACCCTGGTGTCATTGCCTTGCTTTGTGCTACAATTATAATGAAATGAATAACTTGCTTATGCCAGATAGACACCTAAATTCTTCTGAAAAATCTCTGTGAAATGACATCCTTAAGATGGATTAGGCACTTGGAGGTATCTGTACACAGAAGTACTGCTCACCAACCTTGTAGCTCTGGTCCCAAATAATTCTGCAAATTGGGACATAGCGTCTTTCAAGCCACGGCTTGTGATTGGACAACTGAGTCCAGACAGTGGGCTGCCTGCGTGAAGGGACCATTAAAAGGCAGTGGGACAAATGAGGGAAGGTGACCATTCAGGACATACTCCACGCCTAGCCAAGGCAACAGGCTGGACAGGTTTGCCACCACTGCCTGAATCGATCATCACAGCATGTTTAGCTTTCTGCAATTTAAAGTATTTCCTGTCTCCAATGCATTTTATAAAGAGTGTTTTCTAAGTTTCTCTTGCTTCTGCAGAATATAGTCTGAGGAACTGGCCTAGAGATTGGCCTAGGAAGAAGAAGAAAGTACTTTAATAAGAGACCCTCCTCTGTAATGATGAATCCACCTACAGACTGCTTTTTAAGTGCTGCTCAGGAAGGTAACTTTATGTAGTTGCTAAGGTTGCTTGACCATATACTTATTGATGTGAAAAATCTCTCAGTAAACAGACTGGCATTTCAAAAATAACTTCCTAACTTTTTTCCCCTTTAATTGTAGTCATCTGTATTTCAATGTCAACTGTTCGGATTCTCTCCCTCTTCTGAATCTATTGGAGAAATGTAAAGCATCGCAATGAATGTTTAGATGATTAACCATCCTTGTGATTATGCAGCTAAAACTCTTGTGGACAGAGTTTTCTCCCTGTAGAGTCAGTTTTGGCTCCTAGAGCCATATGGGGGCTCTGTGGTCCTCTGCAGATTGAACATAGCACTGTCTGTATGTCAAAAGCAGTGTCCCTGTCATGTTCCTGTCTCTGCTGGGGACTGACAATGTTCACATGGCCTCCCTGGAGCCCACAAGCCATCTGCAAAGACATTCCTGGAATTGTCAAACCCCAAGGTTCTTGAGCTATTGGGATCCCGTAGCACAACTGAGTTTACGCTCCACTAAGCTGCTCACAAGCATGTAATTATTACAGCCGTCCCTATCCCCATGGCTGTGCAGTGATTTTGTAAACATGGAACAATGATTTAATTATAAAAAAAAAATTCTGCTAATTATTCACCAAGATGCTGATGATACCCAGTGCACAGCAGAAGTGTGGTAAGGAGAAAGTGGCTGTACTTCACCAGAGTGAATCTTCTTGGTGGCAAATTCCACATCAATGTGAAGTCAAAAGAAAAAAAAAAAGAAGTGCAAGAAAGAAAAAAGTTACCATATTCTCAGTAATTTTTGAAACCACCATCCTAATTCCAGACTTGTGTCTGTCTTGTATGATAGATCTCATAGTGTCTCGAGACATATTAAAAACATAATATTTCTCTTTTACTATTCTGCTTCAAGGAAAAAAGACAAATTATGCCTTGTGAAGAATCCATTTGCTATAAAGTGTAAAAATGCTTTAATATTAATATTTTATAATAAAATTCATGACATATTTATAAACACTCTATCAAGCATTTACAACTGAACCACAGCTGAGAGCTTGGACCGGAATAAATAAGCAAGGACACAGCTAGTATGAAATATACAGCTTAATTTTTATAATTGTGTGTGCTTTATTCTTTACACAAATGGAATGGATGCACAGAGTATTTACACATAACAGGAGTGTAAGCTGGACAGGGTGTTTTGTAAACTCCAGTTCAGATTCTGAGTACCCCACACTACAGCTAGACTGAGAAACATCCTGCTAAAGAGATGTGCGCTGGCCAGTATGCCAGATGGAGCAGCTTGGTGAGTACAGGCTGCTACACTCAGAAATTCAAACTGGCCAATTCAAATTTAGGAGCACAAATCCAGAAATTAAAACGTTGCTATCCCACTAAGAGCCAACAGTGTTGCCTTCTTTTTTTAATTATTTTTTCTTTTTCCTTTTTTTTTAATGCTTTTTTTCCCCCAAAAAAATCTTGCCTGGAATGCTGGCTACCACTCATCCCCAGAAACGCTGTTTTACATCAGGGAAAGTTGCTTGGGCTGTAGGTCAAGGCTGCAAGTTGCTAATGTGGTATGAGAGATGATGGATCATCTCTCATGCTCTTCATCTTAAAGACAGAGTCTCAAAAGGGCCAGTGAGGTGGCGATTCCTATTGCTCTTGGTATGATGTTAGTGGGGCTGCAGCATTCTGCAAACCCTTCTGCACGGGCTGTCTTTTTGTTCAGCAAATTCACAGCACCTACCTCAAAGGGATCTTGGCCCATGACTTGGCCCTTTGGGTGCTACAGTAAAATAAGCAGTAAATGATGAGGAGAGTAATGAGCTGCTGTTTAGTCAGATGGCCTTGGAGTTTTACAGTAATGCTAAAAAAAATCGGTGTAATGAGGACAAGGGATGTTTAACTTCAGATGGCATAAATGGGATGACTCCACTGAAATCGGACAAGTGACTCTGATTTACACCAGCTGAGAATGCAGGCTGGCTATATCCTGGATAGATTTCAGATGTTATTTGCTGATAGCTTGGATGTTGATTTGTGCCCTAGAATTGGAGCCTTTTTTTTTAACATAGTGATGACCTCATTCTTATTTCTGAACTAACTGACAAGATGTCTGATTTTTAATGGAATAGGAGAAAAAGTTTATTCCACCAAGGCATGGGCTTGAGCACTTGAATGCAGTACACAGAACTGCATGCATAACATGGCAGACAAAATGTTCAAGAGGGAAAATACTGAGATTTAAAAGTTGTGAAGGATAAAAGACTACTTTCTGTGAACACGGCAGATATTATGGCTTTAAAACTGCAGCTGAAAAAGAAGCTTGAGACTTTTTTCATGAACACTATTTTTCCTACAAATATCCTCATGTGTTGTCACTCACTGAACCCTCTCGTCAGGGATAAAATTTGAAAAAAAAATAAGAAAAGAAAAAAATTAATAAAATTTGACCGAGCAAGTAACAGTGAGGGTGTAATACCAACAATTTCTCTGTAGAAAATTAATGTAAATAGGTAGGGGGATGTTGTATACCTAGGACACTGTTGCTGGCTCCTAGTGGTTATTAGCTCAGGTTCCACACTGCTCTCCAGGATGAGGATTTGACATTTCAGTGCAGTGGAGAGATTTTTGTTCTTGATTTTCACAGAGTGGTTCCTAGGACCCTATCCACACCGGAGCATCAAACCATGCTAGCTACAAACACAATTACACCACAGAATATTGATCTAGAAACAGCCTTAACTACCAAAGAAATTACAAAGCGCTAGCATGGACAGGGCACCTCTGTAGGAAGGGGGATTAAGCAAGAAAGAGGCTCTTTCACTGGTTGATGCTCAGACCCAAAGACCAGTGAAGAGTGCTGAGTTTCACTGAGCCCTGTTAGTAAGCTCTCAATGAGTCAGTGCATGAAAGATTTTTTTTTTTTTTTTGTGGCAAGGAAAAATAGGTTGTAATATTGCACATCTGCAAAAAGCTAGCAAGATGTCATCATGATCATTCATGGGTGGACGAAAAGCTGTGATAATTTTGATTCTGCTTGGACCCTACGGTGCTACACACTGTGCCAGAACATGAGATATAGCACCAGGGGTGTGATCTGGCACTTTTCCTAAAGGGTCCAGCATTTGCATTTGTCTCATGTTTAGACACTCCTGAGCCTTTTACATGGACAGAAAGAGAATCTGATTATGCTAAGCTGTGTTAGCATCAATATGGACTCAGGTGCCAATTGCTATGGGTTTTGAGTTTGGACTTTTTTTTTTTTTTGCACCAGATGTAATTTTGCATGAATCTTATGTTTCCCTTCCTCCTCCCACTACCACCCAGTATGATCTGAACAGCTGCAATGCAAAAATGGACTGCAGCTCTGCGGATGCTGAAACATGAAACGCAAAACGTCAACGCACAAAACAAATGGGAGTACAAGTCCTAAGGGAAATAAGACCTCTCACTGCTTCTCTTGACAATTTGTTTTTAAATATATGTTTTATTTAAAAAAAAAAAAAAAAAAAGAAGTGCAATGTCAACTCTAAATTGGAAGCACAAACAACAGACAGGGAAAAATAAATAATGTTACTACAGTAACCAAGGACTGATGGAAAAATTGATTGTACTCAGCCGTAGTGTTACTGTTCACCTTAAAGCACAGCACATGACAAAGCAAAACAGTTACTAGTAGGATAGTACCATAAAAGGCTGCATGCTGAACTAAGAAACAAAGAAGCAGATGTGATTGATTGCTTAAAACAGAGCTGAAAATTAGAATGAAGTTCCTGCTTTAGGATACTTGGTTTTTCAGGTCTGGTGGGCTGATTCCCAACCTGGGGCAATAGTATTTTGCCAGTATGGAAAAATTCGTGGCTTCCAAAGATCTGGGGTCACTCTGTGGATTTCTGCAGAATTATCCAAAATCAAAGCATTCATTAATTTATATTTTGTAAAAAAAAAAAGAAAAAAAAATGTTTCTAGCCCTTCTGATTACAAAGCTCTTCTGGAGACTTAACTGAAACCCTTGTTTATAAATCTGCGCTGGCCAGGCAAGAAAAATAGTAGTTAAAGAAGTGTGAACTTCTCAAAGTTATCATAGTTGGGCAGTAAGCTTAGGAGGCCCCCTCAGGGCCACTAAACTGCCTGTATTATTAACCCTGTCGCTGCTGGTGGCTTTTGCAAACATCCAGCTCGTCTCGCTGTCCGCGGAAGTTGGCTGGGTATACCTGTCAGCTCGACAGGGTGTAGAAATGCAAGCTTCAAATAGACAAGTAACAGAGGAGTCTATTTAGCATTTGCCCTTAAAACATCCTTAAGCGTTAGGGTTACTGTAGCCACCAGCCATAGGCATTGCACTCCTGCAGTGCAGCAGGCAGGAGTGTGGGTTTTATAGAGAACATGGTCCAGCAGCAGCAAAGGCAATTCAGTTTACTGTCATAGCATTTTTGCAGTTGTCCCCTTATGAGTCAGTGAAGATTGGCATCAGTATACAGAGGAAGGGCGGTGCGAAACATGAAAGAAATATCTCCTCCTCCCTTTCCATGCACCCCAAACTGCAATTCCACAGACTTTCCCCAAATCCCTCACAAACATCCATTGCCTCAGTTTTTGCTTTTAAGACCCTTGTTGACTGTGAAATGAATGAAGATATAGGTTAGTTGGTGACCTGCCTGCAAAGAGAGGAAAGATCAAATACTTTTGTTATTTCCTTGGAAAAAACAAGAAGAATCATAAAACATTTGGGGGCGAAGGATGCCTCCCTCCCGAGACAGACATTATTAACCGCATTTAAGCATTGACATTTTGCTTCTGAATAGTTGTCCATTTCATTTTAAAGATGCATTATCCTTTTGTGTTCAGAAAAGTCCTACAGGGCAGTCAGTTGAAGAGATCTTTCCACAGGAGTTCATCATGATTAAATAGAGGCAAGGAAGAGGATTAAATTGAAAGAAAAACAAAACGACAACTACAATTTAAGGAATTATTTTGCTCGTAATTAAGAATAGAGAATCTGTTATGGAAAAGGGATAATGCAACTTGATGGTCCTCTTTACATTTTACAGTCACACAAGGGTGTAAATATTTAATCTTTCAATTAATTAATCTTTACAAAATATCTTCACAAAAACTTTTTTACCTATAGAAATTAGTTTCTATACATCAATATATTTTTATTTTTATAAATTATTCCATCTTTAAGTGCCTTCTGTCAATATAAATGATAAAATAGACAATCAAAAATTTTAAAGCTTTTCCCAGTTGTATCCCTCCTTGTCAACATAGGTGCTGTGAATCCTCATACGTGTGTGTCCGCATGGGAATGTATTAGAGTGCACGAGTGTGTGATGTGAAATGCTTCCATCCTCTCCCACACCCAAACACCATTAAAATAAACCATATTGTTATTAGTTCCTGATGCAATAGTGTTTCCAAAGGGGAAAAAAGAAATGCTTGACTTGGTTTCAGAAATCAAAAGATGTGCATAGTTACCAAAGTCGAGGTGTACCAACTACAAATATGCAATGACAAACTTAGAATAGGACCCACCTCCCAGTCAAGTCACAGAGAGTCCTAACAGTGACCTCAGTAAGAAGTGGACCAAGTACTCTGAGCTTGATTTTGCAAGGTGCGTGTGGCCCTGATCTAGCAAAATGCTTAAGCCTGTGCTTAGCTTTGAGCACATGAATAGTCCTACTGGAATTGATGGAACTGAACAGCAGAGGGAAGGATCACAAGTGCCTCCAAGTCACCAGGCTACTCGTGTAGGAATTGGGGTCGAGTGCTGAGCGCCTTGCAGGATCAAGCCCTATATGAGGTTCAAGAGCTGGGAACTTCTCTTTAAAGCAATCAAAACACTGAGCTCAGCCATTGAAATCGATCAAAATGTCCGCATGGGCACAGGAGGTGGCTAGCTCCCCTTGACAGAGGGTCTCCGTGTCAAAAGTTTATACCTACAACTGGTGCTCTGAGCACACAACAGATTTGCTTTATATGGTAGAAGTCTTTTTGTTCCTACCCTTTGACCCATCAGTGTCCTTCATGGCTTCAAACACTTTGTGTTGTACATTCATCAAAATTCACATTGACTGCAAAGAACATAAATGCAACAAAAACAGGAAAGCCTCCAAATAGTATATTATAGTTTTCTTCTAAATATTCTCCCGTCGTAATCAGAGGTGCAGTGGCTAATTTATAATTTTTCCTTTGAAGGAATCCAGATGAAAGGCCCAGATTGTTCTTCAATTACAAGTTTGCATTGATTATATATATCTTCTAAGCTATCTCCTTGGACAATAGCTGCAGTAGAGAAAACATATCAATACTTCTTTTAATTGATAGATACAGCATCCGGTGTCAGCAGATTTTCAGCATGCTCATAGAACTCACAGACAACATGAGAAGGAATACTGGCATACTGTGATATTGATTATGGAAAAGTCATACCCCTGCAAATGACAACTAAGTTCAAACTAATGGCACCTGCCTATGACAGAGACCCATCCCACTGCTTGTACTGGGAAGACTAAGCCAGGTTAGTTCAGAGAACTAGCAGTTCTGTCCTAGGGGAGGGTAGCGTGGTAGCTTCCCACTGCTGTAAGTCAAGCCTTACGTTTCAATTGATGTAGAAGCTACCTAGAACAGTGGGCAGAACCTTTTTTTTTTGTTCTGTCAGCATGTGGAGGGACAATTGAGGGCTTCTAATGGTTATCTACAAATACCAGTCCCCTGAGAAGGAGCTTTTTAAACCTGCCCAAAGGAAATGCAGGTCTCAAATGAGCAGGTCCTAAATCTTGTTTTTTTTCAGGTCAGGGAGAAGGTGCCCTTCTCTTCCCCTTCCATGATCCATAGCTTGAACTGTTATCTTGAACTAGTGAGGACTTCTTTGGCCTGCACAAATGCAATTATGCAACATTTTTTCTGACTTCATTAAAAGCAGTTTTGGGTCAGGGATGGAATCAAATTCATAGAATCATAGAATTGTGAAGGTTAGAAAAGACATTTAAGATCATTGAACACAACTGTCAACCTAGCAACCCATCACGATGTTCACCATTAAACTACGTCCTCAGGTGCCATGGTTTAATGTTTTTTGAATAATAGGGATGGTGACTTCACCTCTTCCCTGGACAGTCTTTTCCAATGGATTACAACCTTCTCTGTGAACTTTTTTTCTCATAGGTAATCTAAATGTCCCCTGGTACAACTTGAGGCCATTTCCTCATTCTTGTCACTTGTTACCTGGGAGAAGAGGCCAGTGCCCTGGCTACAACCTTATTTCAGATAGTTGTAGAGGCCGATAAGGTCCCCCGGGAGCCTCCTCTTCTCCAGGCTAAACACCCCCAGCTCCCTCAGCCAATCCTCATCAGACCTGTGCTCCAGACCCTACCCCAGCTCCATTGACTTCTCTGGACATGCTCCAGCATCTCAATATCTTTCTTGCAGTGAGGGACCCAAAACTGAACACAGGATTCAAGGTGCAGCCTCACCAGTGCCCAGTACAGGGGGGCAATCACTGCTCCGGTCCTGCTGGCCACACTATTGCTGATACAGGCCCTTGGCCATCTTGGCCTCCTGGGCACCCTGCTGACTCAGCACTCCCTGGTCTTTTTCTGCTGGGCAGCTTTTCAGAAACTCTACTCCAAGCCTATAGTGCAGCATGGGGCTGTTGTGACCCAAGTGCAGGACACCGCACTTTGCCTTCTTGAACATTGTGCAATATGAGACAAGTGCCTCAACTGCTCTGGAATTTCAAGGAAACAATAATCTCAAACCAGAAGTCCTTTCTCTGGGCACACTACACTGACAGGTACTGTAGGCCAGAGACAGACCTGATCAAGTTGTTTTGCAATAAAAGACTATATCTTGGGAAAAAAACCTGACATTAATAAAAACATACCTGTGAAATATTCTCCGAATTCTTGTTCTAATTTAATTGCTCGATCGTAGGTTTTCTTTGCTTGCTCCTCTGTAAGACGTTTATTCATTTCCCTAGAAACACAAAGGAAGTAATCAAAAAATTTGGATTATTGCTAGCACAACTTTCCAAAAGACATGTTCCAAAAGAATCAGTCCCTGAAATTCTTCCATCACTTCATGGACAGTTTTGTATTTTCAATTTAATTTCATTCTAATGTAGCACAAAACTACTTCTTCAGACTATTTCCCATTTCATATTTCTCCAGTAAATTTTTCTCTTGGGTTCACTACTTTGCATTGCCAAACAAAATATAAGGCTTGAATCTGGTAGCTGCTAACTGAGATAGACTTGAGACATCAGGAACCTATAGGTAAGTTTGGTATTCAGGATGTCCTATAGTCTGAGCACTCAGTACTCCTGTCTCCAGAGCTGAAGCTCCTTCAGTCACTTCTCTGTCTCCCACAGCTGCCTCAGCTGATTAATGTTGTACAGATTGCTTACTGGGTACCAATAATGTAAAAACATAAACAGTCAGTAACATTCTGATTCTCTTAGTGTTTTGTTATTTGTTGGAGCATTTCTGTTAACAAGAGAAGCATTATTTAATAACTTTGAGAAATGAGTTTTCTTGCCTGTGCATGCTCAGCTTTTAATACCACTGTATACTTTCAGTGATCAAGCTTGTACTTATTCACTGCCTTACACTTATATGCCTGTAGACGTCCAAATTTATTATCAATAATAAATAGAGTTTGTTTGTTCTAGCATTTTTCACAGCATGGATTAATTTTCTTGAAACGTGATGAAAATTTTCTGAGGCAACTAGGGAAGCAAGAGAAGGGAGCATCTTGTGTTCCACATAAATCTGATTTAATGCCTTGCACTGTATCATATGATTATGTGGAAATGGACTGCATATAGTATGACATGGGCGATGCACGTGGGAAATTATGTGCATTACGGTGCATAAAAAATGATCTAAGAAGCGCACAACAGTATGAACTTGCTACAACTAACTCCCACCTGGCTTCTGAGAAACACCCTGGAAGATGTCTAGGATGCAAAAATGTGTTTCTAGAAACGGCTTATTGCTGCCTACCTGTATAACTAACCATACAGCTGGGAACACTGCTTAGAAAAATCTCTCTGGAAATACAAAAGCAATGGAGAAAGCAGGATTATCAAATGAATGTAAGAAAGATTTCTTAAAAAATGTATGACAGTAATTGTAGGTTATATAAATAGGTTTAGCATTCGCAAATCTGTGCGTTGTCCTGCTAAATTTGTAATACTACTTGTTCTATTAAGTGGAAAGATGAGTTCAGGTGGACTTCTTATCAGCTACACCTACTTAAACATCTCTTTAGGTGACTGAACCAAACCTCTGTCTTGAAGTGGGACACACCATTGCAAATTCTTAGCCAAACTTTTCATCTGAAGAACACTATTGTAGTGCTAACAACCTCCTTCTTCCAGATCTATTTCTGGTAAATTTCTGAGAAGTCTTCCTCAGGATCTTTGAATTAGCAGAAGAGATAATACAAATACAAACAAGTGTTTATAATAGGAAGTATTTTGAAATAGGTACAAATCTGCCTTACACTTTCAGGTTGTAGATTTGCCTGGGATATAAAACTGTGCTAGTTGTATTCATGCCTCTGCCCATCCTGTGCCTTTAGGAGAAAGGATGGAGAGAAGGGAGGACCTTGATATCTATTTTTCATGATGAATTAAAAGTGCTGTCATACTGTGGTCCCTTTTATTTTATTTTTATTTCCTAGGTGGGGACCTTCACAGCTGGTGAATTCAAAATAGTGCTCCAGGTATATTTTCCAGTGTTTTCCTCCTCTCCCAGTGAAGAGCTTACCCAGGCAGGCTTTTCCTTACTTCTGTTTCTTATCCCCCTGACCTCAACACTGTCCTACTTCCTCTAGAGAGAGAGGCTGATTGAAGTGTACCAACAAGGATGCCTCTGGGTGTAAACCAGGTGGAGTTGTGTAGGGGTAGGAGAGATGAAGGGAGGAAGGAAGGCAGGGAGAGAGAAAGGAAGGGTTGATGGACTAGTTTTTTTACAGCAATGGCTATGTGTTCTGATTGCTTTTACATCCAATAGCCCCTTGTAGTCTTCCATCACTGTGGTTGCAAGTGCTCTAAGTGTTAGTAAGTGTTGTGTTAGTAAGTGTTAGTTCCAGAAAACCTGCAATAACCAAGTTTCAAGTGAAGGAGTTCCCTTCACTCTTCTTACTTCCACTGTCAGATGGGTGCAAAAGAGTATATGCATAAATGAGAGTTAGACCACAACTTTATGTGATAATTTTGCTGAAAGAATAAATCTTTTCTTATTCTTTCTCTACATCTTGTGATTAGAAATTTTTTGTCCTTTATGTTTTGACTTTGCTACTACAGTAACTTTCAACTTGGAGTAATAGTTATGACAGATAAGGCATAACTTTTTTGTGTTGCAGTAGTTATGTAAATAAAAAAGACGGAATCCCAGAATCATTTAGGTTGGAAAAGACCTACAAGATCATCAAGTCCAACCTTTTATTGATCACCATCTTGTCAACTAGACCATAGCACTAAGTGCCACATCCAGTTGTTTCTTGAACAACACACTTGTTTTATTGTCTATTGCTTTGGTTCAATAACAGGATGATTGTCATAATATTTTGCATCTTCATAACATCATTCAGCCAATCTGTTCAAGGATTTGCTGTTCTAACATCAAATCAATGAAGCCTTTATGTTATTGCCACTTTTCTGGTTCTACTTACACTTTTTTTTTTTTTTTTTTGGTCATTCCAGAGGCAGTGCCAGTATTAAACAAATAATGGAAATGTTTTATGAAAGGGAATACTGTCCACTAAGATCTATGTTAAAACAACCAGTGTAGAAGGTAGGCTATCAGACAATCTTTCTTTTATACATATCAAAATCAGAATACAATTGAATTGCAGGGCTTGAAGAAATGCCAGGAAGTCATCCAGTCCAAGATGGCTTTTGGTTAGGATGGGGCTGTGTAAGTACCACATACTGTGCATCATTCCCTGTAGCATGATTGGACATGCAACAACCTCATTGCCAAAAGGCAGGGCCAGGGAGAATGCACATTTGCGGGATGAGTTGTTTTGGCATTCTCCAGCTCTGTGACCAACGTCTGTGGGCACACAGTTACTGCTACCAGACACAGATCTGTAACAGGAGGGTGGGTGCCTACATTCTACCTGTGAAACACATACCTATGGCATTACCTGGCCTTTGCAAAGCCTTGTATGAGGGGAAGGCACAGAGCTCAAAATTTCATTCTTATCACAGCAAAGTAAGCTGATAGCTCTTGCATTATCTTGACTGTACATGGAAAACAACTCGATAACAATGTATTTTACCCTGAGCTTTAATCGGTATGAGGATCAATTCTGTATTTCCTCCTCAACCTTCTCTCTGTGACACTAGATAATGCTCATTCCTCCTCCACCAGCAGGGTGGAACCAAGAACCAGGCCAGCACTCCAGCTGAGGCCTCATCCATACCCAGTAAAACAAAATAGCTGTCTATTGTGTCCTTACACAACACTGATATGAATATAGCCCACAGTGGCAGTTTCCTTTTTTGCAACCACATTATCCATCCATTCAAATTCCTGTGTAATCCACCCCAACTGCCAGATGCTTTTCTGCAGTGCTATAGTTTCATTATTCCCTGCTTGTAGTCTTGCATTTAATTTTCTCCCCTTTGTGCTGAATTTCATCTTACTGATCTTATACTAAGTTTCAATCTTATCCTCCAAAGTTCATGTCACCCCAGTGAGCCTTGACAGCATGAAGTTGGTGCCTTTTCTTTCATTAGTTTGAGTGTTACATTTGCCCCTCTCCAGTCCCATGGTTCCTCGCCTATCTTCTTACAGACCTTCAGGCAAATGAAGAGCTTATACGAAGAAGCACACACCTCAGACCTGGCACAGGTTTAACCGTCTGGTTTTTGCCCTTAACCAGACTCTACACCCCAGGAGCACCTGAGGCTGGATGGGACAAGCCATGCTGCATGAGTCCCTGGTGAACTTGCTGCCCACAAGTCCCAGTCTGAAAGGTTCAAAGGCAGCTCTGGCTTGTTCCTGGAGATGCCAGGATACAGTGGATGACAGGCTGTGAGGATAAGTCTCCACTGTTCTCACTTCCCCTGATTACTACTAATTATAGAAAACAGGCAAAACATAGACTCAAGACCTGTGTGGTACCACTTGAGATTGTACCCTGAAAAATAAAATGCTTGAAGAAGTTCATACTCACATCAGAGGCTCCCATGATTTAGGCTTAATGAAGATAGCGATGGGATAGAGTTGTGCAACTTGTAGTCGTTTGATAGCATTTCCTGACACATCAAGTATACAGTGCTTGCCCTGTTGGAAGCAGATGAAGATGTGTTTATTTCTGCAGAGTTTGCTGCAGATCAGCCAAAAGATAGGAAGCAATTCTGAGATGCAGTGCCCTGGAACAGGGCCATTACTGGCACACCAGGGAAGAGGGAGCCCAGGGCATGTGCTTCACTACTTTATGTTCTTTCCTTTGCTTTGGTGCTAATAAAAAATATACACTGTTGATATGGAAACAAACTTGGGTTTTATTTTTTCCTGATATGAAATTCGTAGGGGCAGGAGCATTTTCTTGAGATGAGGAAAATCAATTCATAAAAGTTAATATGATGTCTATGTTCTTACTGGTTAAACAAATTCTTGTTTATGTCGAAGACTCCCCATGTCACCTGAGAAAAATAATGTCATCATTCTGTGGTTTGTCCTTTTGCCTCTGTGAAAGTGAGACAAGTTTATCTACCCGTCTTACAGAAGCAAGAGGAAAGGCTGTTTTGGGATGCACTTGAGGAACTGTGTTAGAACCCTGAATCCATGGCACTATATCCAAGTACAGGAAGTGTCAAGGATGATGTCATTCAAAGCAGAAACTCCACTTGTGTAGTCATTATAAAGCCTATAAATATTAGGATGCCATTTTGCAGATATTTTCTGGTTTTGCCAGAGAATCATGTCTGGGACACAAGTAGAAACAAAGCAGATCATGTTGTATAGGCAATAAAACTAGTGTCAACCTACCCTTTCTGCCACAAATCTCACAGACTGGACACTAGTTCCATATAAATTATCATTGTACTGCCCAGCTTCTATAAATTTGTGCTCTTGGATATCTTTTTCCATTTGTTCTCTTGAAATGACAAAATGATAATCTCTCCCATCCACTTCATAGTCACGCTTTGGCCGTGTGGTATCTGCGTGAAACAAAAGACAGAAGATAAAGAAGTCTGCAAAAACATTTAGTGCACAAAATGCAGCAGGAAAGGCTTGCTCAGTGGGCAATGCTGGATCTGCTTTAAGGGGAGGCACTCCACATCTGAGAGCAGATTTTGGCTACTACATATTGTTTTCAATGGAGTTATGACAACAAAGCTGTCTTTTTGTAGTAATACCTTTTGATGTTTACCTCCAATCAATACAGGCTAAAATAAAATTAGGGTTTACCAGAATTTCACTTTTTTTCAGCAGGATCACACAAAAACCTCAAATATAAAATTCATTCCAGATTGTAAATCCAATATTATTCGAATGATAAAATAAATCGTAATCTCATCTATTTAGCCTTATTTAGAGGCCTGATTTGGTTCTCACCTCTAGCAATTTTAAGGTAGTATATTTGCAGAGACAACAGTTAAAAATGACGTACAACTGCAACCAGGGCTTGAAATAGATAGCAAGTTCTAATGATCCAAGATATAAATACTCTGTTTAATTCAGAGTCCAACATTGCTTTCAGATTCAAGAATCCGGATGTCACACAATTCACAGATTATTCCATATTTTTATAGGTGGATGCTGTGCAATTGAGCGGAACCATTTTACATTTTACCAGTATTTCAAACATGTCTTATTTAAGAAACCATAGATGTAATGATTACTAAACTGGGTTAGTGACTGGAAGGTTCCTTGTTTAAAAAAGTCCTAGAGCTTTTGAGACAATTCTTTTGAGAAATGTTTTCCAGACCTTCACAACCTTTTTTAAAATTTTATTTATTTGTTCCTTTCCCATTTTCTGTGTGAGGGAAAAATGACCTTTGAGAAACTCAACTACATACAGCTTATGGATACTGTTTTCCCAGAAATTTACTTAATGTGTAGCACCAAGGGATACAGTTCACTCAGCTGCAGAACTAGGAGTAAAATCATACTCACGTGGTACACATGATCCGAACTTATCAGGGAATTCAGATATCAAATCATCGTTGATCCGATCTTTCATAGGACCCAGAATAATAACCGGCCTGGTGTAATTAACTGAACAACAAAAAGAAAGGCACACTTTGATGATCTTACTGGTAAATAATTTTACCCAATTATGCACTAACCAGAGTTTTTGCTTTCATGTATGAAGTGAAAACTTAGGTGCACATTTTATTGATGAATATTTTATATATTGACATGAATAAGGAAATGGAATTAGCACTGCAGAGCTCTGTGATGATCCATGCACATGGTCAAATGATTATGTAGAAGCACATATATTTGCTATCGCTCAAGAAGGCCACCCCCAAATACTTGCAGATGGACTCTTCCAAGAGGCATGGAAAGGCAGTTGTAGCATTTTTTTCTCGTATAGTTATACGAATGCATCCCTCATTAAGTCAGGTGAGTGCACTCCCAGTTTCAGTTGCCTTCCCATAGGTTCATCTACACTGGGTAGTGGCACATATCATGTGCCTTCCATGTAATAATATTGCAGTAAATCTAGAAAATCTGCATCAATATTTTGTAGAATGATTAACTTATGTATTAGTAAAGCCCAAGAGAGCATACTGGAGAGAGCCCTGGGAATGTCGGGAAGTGGGGACTTTCAAAGAAGATCCTTATATAATTCTTTTCATATGCAATAGGCTGAGTGTCCAAGAAAAAGAAGTCACAGAGAATCTGGGTCTGACACAGCAAGACTTACTGCTCTGCTGGCCCCCAAACTGTGAAATGAAATATATAAGGAACAGTGATAGAAAAGCAGGTGAAACTTACTTTCCTGTCTTGTGACAGGTTCATAAGAAAAGATGCAGTCTTCTTGGCCTCCTGATGAGAAAAGAAAGAGAAGAGATTAAAGTTGACAAGAAACACATGAAGTACTTAAGCTTGATAAAATGCTTCACATAGAGACACACTGAGTTCAACACGTCTCTCTGATAAGCCTCTCACCTGAACCATTCCAAAGTCCATCATAACTTCCAGGTGTGGAGAATGATTTTTTTCCTTCCCCTCCCTCCCCTGCCAAGTGTTTCAATTCTTTTTGCTGAAATTGGGCTTTTTCAATGATGGGCAACAAGGCTTTATTTATTGATTTGATAGCAAGGCTGTTTACAAGGATAGTGCGGAAATTTAGGATGCAATTCTTTCTTTTTTTTTTTTTATTGTTAAGGCCCTAACATGTTGCTGCAGAGCAAATCCACAGGCTACCTAGATGGAACACTTTTTATCCATATGTATAAACATAAATACGTTTTAGTTGATTATTATTCTGTGCATAGCCTCTACAGTCTAATTCATTCACAGCCTAACATCTAGCTACAAGCTATTTTCTGATCTTTATCCCTTCCCTAAATACAAATCACAGACTCAAAGAATGGCTAGATTTGAAATGGACCTCTGGAGATCATCTAGTCCAGTCGCCCCTGCTAAAGAAGGTTCAGCTAGAACAGGTTGTACAGAGTCATGTCTAGGCATGTTTTGAATATCTTCAGAGAAGGTCTCACAGCATCATATTTTACACACTGATCCTCCCTCTGCCCCTGTTAGGACAGTGCTGTTTCCTCATGGTGATGTTTAGGGAACTAAGGATGTAAATTAGCCATGTGAAACAAGTGACATTGCATGGACTTGGGTGCAGTTCCTAAAAGGGGATGCAGGAGAAGAGGGAGGTGGATTCTTCGGCTAATAATTCCTGCACATTTCTTTTTCTGGGTCACTGCCACATACTTGAGGGTTCTGGTAGGTTCTAAATATGATTTAGACATATCAAAGTTTAAAATTATGATTTTACTCTTACTCAGTTCAGGGTTTGTCTTGGAAAAGAACCACAGATAGGATTTTGCAACTAATTTAGATACTACAGAAGAGAAAGTATCATAAGGGATACCAGTGCTTTGTAAAATAGACAGGGTTGCCCTCATTTCATCTGCTTGCATGCACATGAGCCTGTGCTACATTATTCCTGCCAAACCAAAGTGTGCACATACCAGGGAACAGTGCTACCTGATGCCTGATGGAAATATATGTAGGATCTAGAGGTGGGTACACCTCACCCTGAAGTAGTCTGGCTGCTGTCTGAGTCACTACTGAGGCTCCACTATCTATATTAAAAAGCTTTCTGTTGGATGCAATGCCTAGCTCCCAAGAAGGTGCAAAACTTTTTGTGCTTTAATCTTAAGCTGACTCCCACATCCTAAGTCTAAAATATTGATGGATAGTTTTTTTTTGGTGACGTATTATCTAGGCAGCTGTGACAAATGTGTAAGAAAGCTTTTCAAGCAAAAATAATATTGTAATTGAGGACAATAACTGGAAAAGCAAAGAAAAAACTGTGCTGATGTGTTAGGAAAGAGGGGGAACTGACAGTTGACATAGGACCAACTCCAGCCCAGAAATGGTGCTGAAGTAGCAAAGGAGGGAACATAATTTTTAATAAAAGGAACAAATTAGACAGATTTTGAGGAAAAGGAGTGTGAATAATGGATTTTCTTCTCTATTTGCAAATGTTTGATATTGTAATCACTTAACTTTGGCTTTTTGCAAAGTTAAAAAAAAGGTAATTATTGTTATACTAGTTTTCATGCATCAGATATATTATTTTCCCTTAAGTTTCTCTGGAAATTTTAGGGGTGGTGTAAAACTCAGGATGTCCCATTCCACTGGAGATGAAATGATTCACTCTCCAGGCTGGACGAGGGTGCTCCTGCGCTGCCCTCTCTCCATCCCCCAGGAGCCAGGGCTATATTTTCCGACAGCCTGAGAAAGTCAACCTTGGGGTGGGTGATGAAGCCATTACAGACCAGTCGTGTGGAGGGACCCTGTTTGTAAGAATACAATCCTAAATTTAAAATACTTGTTTCAATGGATACAGATCCACAGCAGGGGTTTTATTTCAGCTAATTTCAGAAACCTGAGTGCTTGTGTCTGAGCTAGTCCCTAGGGATCCTTTGGAGCCAATGGCTGCCTACAAGTAGGAAAGGGCTTATTCTAAGACATGAGTCATCTGACCTGTTTTAGATATCTACTGTGTGATGAGAGAAAAAGTCAGAAGGGTGTGTTTATCTCCATTGTCCCATAAAAAACATTTAAACAGCAAGTTCAGATGCAGACACCTACATTTAAATCTCATGGGAGTGACACTGTCAATAGCAACTGAAGGAAAATAGACAATCACTCTGACACTACTGTTCAAAATTTTATTTTTTTAAACTGTAAACTAATATTTGGCTTTGGCACAGATTTATAACAGCACTGATAAGCCATCACAGATTTTACCTTCTCTTTTGCCCAGTCTATGGCAGACATGTCTACATGCTAAAGTTGTTGGCACATCGACACTATCAGTAGGGTATGGGCTATGGAGACAAACGAGCCTGTTGTTTTACAGAAGTCTCGTAAAGCTGTGGCCATATTGAAAGAAGAGAAAAGTTCTCCATCCTAATCAAACTGTGCTGAAGTTTAGGCCATTGGGAAGGGTTGCATCAAGTACGGAGAAATTTTGAGGCTGACTGTGATACACAGGGACTTAAAGACAGACATCTTCCTGAGGTAAGGCTCTTCAGTCCTGAGTTTCAGACTCAACATGGAGTGTAAGTTTGGGGAGAAGCTGTTTCCACTGTTTTTATTTTCTGGAAAAAGGACTCAGGAGCTCAAATTTGTAAGTGAACAAAATCCTGCCAAATACTGTCCAGAAAAAACCCTGTAGGTCCTCAGAGGCTACTGTGCATGTCAACTGTACCAGATGGTATTCTTTAATGATCTCTACTCAGTCAGTACTGTGTGGTTTTGAATCAGTCCACAAAGTATTAAGCATAATTAAGAGCTCTAGAGTCGATCAATAATCGGATTGCTATAACCTTGTGATGGCTTTGAGGTGTGAGACACAGTATGAAATCCAGCAGGACAAGGGTCTTATTTATCATTTGCCTAAGCCTCATTTACCACCCACATTAATGGCTTAATTAGCACGGGTTAGCTGTATTGGTCTGGGAAATCTTCATGACATTTAACAGATAAAACACAAAGAGGAAAAAGCAAAAGACCTTTCTGTAGGATTTTGGCATGATCCCTTGTTTTCAGTAAAATGCCATCAAGTCAAAAAAGAGAAGAAAAGAAAAAAAATAAGACAAGAGAAGAACGAAAAAGGAAGCTTTCCTAAATGTAATATATTTATGAGTAAAATTATTGGAGGGTTTTTCCAAGGACCACTCCCTACTTCCCTTTGTTCTTGGTTTGCCTGTTAGTGATTTCTCATGCTTGGGGAGGGAAGTACAACTTGGAATTTGTTATAACTCATAGCCTCTATGAAATGGGCAGAGAGGGCCTGTGTAGTCAGGTAAGTGTCATAAGGACTACTAATTTCAATTTTTTTCAAAGGATTTTGTAGGGTTTCAGATGGGTATACCTGAAAGGGTCTCTGTTTTTGCTTTCTGATTAGAGGCCAGAGAGTCTGTGAAAGACTCAAAACCAATTTCAGTGTAGATCAGTTTCATGTAACCCATAAAAAGGCCCCATTTCCTATTGTCTTGCCACAGCATCACAGAGCTTCAACAATGTTGGTGCAACTGCACACGTGTGGCTAATGGGCCAGGAGAGCTGCTGTGAGCTGCCATGGTGCAGCCACCATGTAAACAAGCACCTTCCCTCATCAAATAGTGCATCCAGTGGGAATCCATGGATTTTGGCATCCTAGTAATGTCTGCAAATGAAAAACTCTGTAAAGGGATCTAAGGAGGTGACTAACAGAAAAGTACTACTAGTGAGGACAATGAGACATTATTTATGACTAGAAAAATCAAAGAGAATTTTTGGTTTCATTAAAATTTATGGACTAATGGTGGCTCATTTTTCTGTCACTATCCATTTAGATTTTGGGCTAATGTCTGAATTACCTGAGTTGTACCTGCAAGATCTTGAAGAAATTAATTTCTTGCTTTGTTTCATCTGCACAGACTGCACGGGACAGCCAATATCCCAGCCTCTATTTCGTTCAAAATCCCTTTCCTGCACCTCTGTTTATGTGAATAAACAAGATTTTTTGAAATATATCGATAGCTATGAAAGGCTGGAAATCCAATATGTAAAAGGATCATCATAGTCTGAGAATGAACTTATGACTGAAAAGTCATTTATGGGCACTATATGTTTAAGATCAATATAGCTTTATGCGTATAAAATGAGACTTCAATACTTGTGCCAATTTGAGTATCCCTTAATAACATCGTAATTCTGGGAAGCCAATGTAAGTGCCCTTATTAATCAGTAGCCTAGCATAATAATCAGCACTACTTCAACCTTGTTCTGAATCTTCAGATCTCATCAGAAGAGTGACTTGCTGATTTGCTGACAGAGAGTAAAAATTTTTAATTCTAACACTTTTTGTTATTTTTAACTTTTTAGTTATGTATTGCCTCTCTAGGTAATTGGTGTAATCACAGCCAGTTATACAATTAGGCTAAACAGATGCAGTAATGTGCATGTAATTTTGATGACAGCTGTAAAAACCTTTACTGACCTAAGTGTAAGAGTGTTACAACACATATGCAGGATAGAAACTTGAAATTTACGGCTATTATGAAAATCAGGTCTTGCAAAATAAAAACTGATGAGCCCAAGGTAAAAAATCTGTCCTTATAAGCTTGATTTGAAAAAGAAATCAGAAAATTTTAAGTTGCAGTTCTCTAAATAAACTTTTAATCATGGTTTGATTAACTGGTTCAGGGATAAATCAAAATTGGCTCTATGTATCCTTACCAAAAAAAGTACAACTTTCTGCTAGATTAGGGCTTTATATACCACCCTTCAAACTTGGTTTTACTTCTGAGAACAGGAACAAATAAACTAACACAGTTATAGACTTCCTGATAGCATGGCCCTGTGATTCAGCAGCAGCTGTGTGGTAACTCAGTCTCTTTAAGATAAGCCAGCCTTTTTACCTGGCTCAAAAATACTTTTTTTTTTTTATTTATAAAAGGTCAGGTTCTACTCTCAAATGTTTCTGCAATTCCCCCTGAAGTTAATGGTGCTGATGGTTATCTGTTGGGATAAAGAAAATCCCACTGTTGCCTCCAACTCTTTTGTTCACAGCAAACCCAGTGCTGAGGGCACTGGCAGAAGAAATCTGGTTTACTTTCTGCAACAGCCTTGTTGCTAAGAAAGGGACAAAGAATTTTCTCTTGAGACCACATAAAAGGACTTATAAATATTTTATTATTTTGAAATAAAAAATATCTGACTTCTGTAAAAAATCTGTTTTTTTTAACCCTAGAGACATAAGCAATTCTTTAGCCAAATACTTAAATTTTTAAGCAATATGTTTTTCTAAAAAACTATAAACACATGAGAATATGTTCTAGAAAAAGCCCAGTTGATTTGTAACCCCCCTATTCACTGTCCAGGTCACAGCCTCGACATCTCTCAGAAGCCTTTAACACTCCTGGTTTGGAATGGTTCTAGGAATGATCAAGTAGTACAGGTTTTGACACTAGCTACTTTTTTCTAAGTTCTCACCATGAGAATCAAAAGTTAAAGAAATGTTAAAACAATTGCCAGAGATCTACTAGAAAAAAAATGCAGAACACCTCTCTCTGGACTCCAACTGGCCTGTTTTTATACGGACAAATATGAAGGTCTGCAGGAGAACACCCAGCAGTTGCCAGTCATTTCTTACCAAGACACTTTTGCTTTGAGGTGATTTCATAGAACCACAGAATTATTTAGGTTGGAAAGGACAAGTCCAACTCTGCCAAGCCCCACTAAACCATGACCCTGAGTATATCTTTTAAATCCCTCTAGAGATGGTGACTTAACCACGTCCATGGGCATCCTACTCCAATGTTCAATAACCCTTTCAGAAGAGACATTTTGTCTTCTATCCAATCTAAACCTTTCCTGGTGCAATCTGAGGCCATTTCTTCTTCCTGTTGATTGTTACTTTGGAGAAGAGACTGGCTTCACTTCACTACAACCTCTTTTCAGCTGCTCCTCATAACATTTGTGCCTCAAACCCTTCTCCAGCTCCATTGCCCTTCTGTGGACAGGCTCCATCACGTCAATGTCTTTCTTGGAATGAGGTGCACAGAGCATAACACAGGATTTGAGGTGTGGCCTCCCTAGTGCTGAGTGCAGCACAACAATCACTTCCCCTTGTCCTGCTGGCCAAACTATTGCTGATACAAGATGCCCTTGGCCTTCTTGGCCACCTGGACACACTGCTGGATCATGTTCAGCCGCTGTTGACCAGCACCTTCTCAAGTCCTTTTCTGACGGGCACCTTTCCAGCCACCCTGCCCCAGCTTCCCACAGTTCAGAAAGCAGTGGTGCAGGCAACCCCTTTCCTCTTGCTCATTTGCTGGAGAAACAGAATAGAAAAGGGGCATGGGTACAGGCTCACAAAATCATGCAAACCCCTTGATTCCTCCAGCAGTTTTCTATTTGCTGCCCATGAATTTTCCAGCTTCACTTTTTTTCTCCTCTCATTTCACCATTGCACAGACTGAAGGCTAGATGAGTTTGCAAATCAACACACATGGTGTCCTTGTAAAATAACTAATTGTGCCTCACCTTGAACACACAGATTCTCCTCCAAGTGACATTACATAACACTAAAGAACAACTTTGCAACCTGACACACCCCATGAATCCTCAGCAAATAAAATCAGGCCCTTTCGGCACCAGGTCCTGTATTTTTATTGTTATGCCACTTTCACTTGGCATAATCTAAGTTTGGCTTCCTCTGGTTCTAAATGGCATAGCTGTCCTGTGGGCAGAGAAGAAACCTCTGCCTACTTCTCCATCAGGCAGCAGTTGTTGGACATACCAGTAGTGTGTGGGGAAATCCAGCCAGCAGAATATAGACTAGATGCTTCTGGGGTGAGACAGGATCTTGTCCAGGTGCAAACCACTTCAGAAGGAGAGTGACTACCATGGGTAGTTATTCCAACACTACTTTTCCTTCCAACTGTCTGTGTTCCAACTAACTTTCCCAAACTATTTCTCTTACCTTTCTTGCACCTCAAAACATACATTTTGTTTTATTACCCAGCAGTGAAGAACCGGCTACCTGTCCTGTATTACGATGAAATTTGGTAACTAGGTTTTGTAGACATGCCCAAAATGTTTGGCTGTAACTGGGCTCTCCCATTAAGTCCGCTGTTTGGGACAGTTCATCAGCCTAGATTCTCCTCTGGGCTTTTACCCTGAGCTCACCCTGAAATTTGCAGACCTGGATGAGATTTGACTCATGCAAACTTTTGAAAATTTAACTTTTTGACTTATTCCTAATTGTAAAGTCAGTCTGGAAAGAGCATCTTATATTTCAAACATAAAATTCCCCAGTTCTCCTAAGTAGAGGACACATTAAAAATAAAATGGTTTAGAACTGGATCTTGGCAATTCAAGAGTGTCTACTGTTTTCTTGTGACTCTGGCAATTGCTTTCCAAGGAAACCTTTGCAATACAAGAGAATACAAACTAATTTACCATTTCTGAACAGCATAAGGTTAGCTGTTTTACTGAAACAAACCAGTGTTTATCCACAGAGCTCAACTGCTATGCCTTATATCAAGACTAGTAAATATTATGTATGATACCATTGATTACCTGAATGTATGTGGGTGCTTGGCACAAGTGCTGAGTGACTGGTGGAAAACTTGATTTGTTAAGCAAATGGCTTGAAAAAATGGAACAACTGGGTGATTTAGCAAGCAATCTGTCATTTTATTTACCTTTTATTACATTTCTTGTAATTTATGTAATGACTTGGGTTTTTTCTACTTTTCAGAACTTCCAGAACAATAGCTATATTGGTTAAATTTATGGGTATAACTAAGAATTACCCAGAACATACAATTTGCTTCTCGGTTCTATGATCCCACGGAGTCTGTAAATACAATCAAACCATGTTGCAGGTTGGGATCTCCACCTGCAGGGTATCAGTGACATTCAGCGGCAGTGCCTAAGCAGTGAAAGTCTATCTTACTGTTTTTTTAAGACTCCAATATGCATTAGAAAATCTATACTGTCAAAACTACAGTCTAAACAAAAATTATGGGACTGCTTCTTAGCCCATCATACAGGCGTGCAGAAATACAAGTGAAAATTGTGACCTTGTAAAGAGGATGCCTTTTGCAGATTTGATTACAGCTATGGAATAATTTTACACTTAAAAGACCACCAAGAAAATTCCCCCTCCCCACTGAAGTAAACCTTTGTCACTAAACCAAATAATCCTGACTTTCATAGGCTACCCAAAGCCAGGTTTAGTTTTATATCCCAGAATACATCACAAGTAACAACCTTTCTCCCTTCTCTTATAACGGTTGCTAGTTTTCTTTTACAACTTTGTCCTCAAGATATGGTTATAAATTTGAATTCCAAGCCATTTGCTCCATCTTTTTAACATTAACAAAAGAGTAGCAAGGAGAGAAACAAAATAAAAGAAACAAACAGAACAAGCAATGCAAAGTAAAAGGACTCTAATGAAAGCAGTAACTTACTGTAGCTACTTTCACTATCGCTGGCATTAGAAGAAACATGTTCTGCAAGAACAGTACAGCAAATTAAAGAACATAACCAAGCACCACAGCACAGCAGAAACTTAAAATAACTGCCAAAGTCATGCAAAGGTAGTTATGCAGAGAGGAAATAAAAACTGTGCAGTGACATCACCTGAAAACAACTCAGATAATTTACAGAGGTAAAATGAAAGCTTTCTCTCTTGTGGCATTTCTGAAAGAGACTGTATGTATTAGCTAGTGATATGTGTCATGGCAAAGCTATGTCTCTTCCTGATGAGGCAGTAAATGATATCTCAGATAATTTCATTTCAATGCATATTATAGTCAACTTGCATCTCACTGGACGTCTTGAGTAATTTAATAAAATCTGAGTGTCTGCTCATATAAATCTGCATCGTCAGCAATGTGCATCATTAATCATTATTAATGCATTGGAACTATTCTTGCTAAATTTGTGTCCATCGTTAATCACTGTGCATTATCCCAAAGGGTTAACAAATTAATATGAAAGTTGTTTTTATATCAAATATTGTAATTGTATCTATTTTGCCTTGTCCAACTAAAAAAAAAAAAAAAAAACACCAAAAAAAACCCGAAAAAGAAAAAAGAAGACAAAGCCAATGACAAAAATGAGAAAAAAAATGAAGAAGTCTTTTTCCAGTCACTGTCTAGCCTCAGAGTTTGAACTGGAGTATTAAAACCTTTACCAGACCAGTCTGGATGGGTGAACAAGACTATAAGAACTATCATGATTGGTCAGTCTCATGGTTCGTCAAGTCAGCTGTCCTGTTTGTATTATCATACTCTTGAAAGGAAGTGCAATCATGTAATGTTGCTCTTCCAAAATTGTGTCAGCAAAATATTTATGGTCAGTAAGACCATGCCATATGATCTCCAGGAGTTCTGCAGGACCATATTCAATAGTGGTTTAATAGTACGTCTGGTGGAAATGCTGATTACTTTGCACCTGAGAGATCACTTGACAGCTGAAACTTTTTCAGCTGGTCCAGGACGTTTAGAAGCCAATGGCATAATGGTTATACAGTTGAGAGCACCTTGGGTAAGTGAGAAAGACAGGAACAGTGCTAAGAACACTTGTTCTCTGGGAGGCTCTGCATTTCCCTCATGAACCAATTTAATAGATTAGGGTTCATAGATTGGGAATGATGGGGCTACTGGAGCAGCAGAAATGAGAGGGGATGATATCTTATAAAAACATTATTGGAAAAAACTTGATCTTGGGCCTAGGAAGAAGCTTCAAAAAGTTAAACTTACATTTTGAAGAAAACAGTATATTGACTTTTGGACATTTCATAGCAAATTAACAAGTTTTATCTCAAGCTAATATGTATACAGGACCCTGAAGAACTTTATTTAAAAAGAACAAATATCCTTCATAGCAGGAACTGTCATTAAAAAACATATCTGAGTTGAATATTTATAAAATTTGAATGGCTGGGAATGTATGTAGGTGTGTCAGTAATTGAAAACTAGGCACAATATTAATAGAGGAAATAGTGCCTTGTATAATACCTCCGTGCTACTTTGTCCCATATCAATTTGCAGAATTTAGTTACCTTTTAAATGATTGAATGTTATGGAGATTTGTCTTTGTAGGGACACAAATGATCAGGAGGGCTATCAGGTCAGAAAGATTTTAATTTTCTCTAGCAGCAAAGGATCTGCATTTGTTGCTAATGAGCTGTTATGACACCTAAATGACCACAGCATGGTTAAAATTCAGGTGGCAGTGACATTTGCTGTCTATCACTGACAAAACTAGTCTTTGCAGAACTGTTTTTCCTTGTACAAGAGATGAAGCTTTCATCTTTGAATTGTGAGCTACTACATGGCTTGAAGTTAAACCATTAAAATGTCCCTTCAACAAATCAGTCAGAAACAGAATGATCTCAAAAAATGTGTACATAGATGTGCATTCCTGCAATTAAAAAGCACATAAAAAACAGTAGGTGATGCAGCATTAACATTCACACACATTTTGCTCCAATTACTTGGTGCTTAAGAAAAGGAATAACAACTGAGGAAGAAACAGCCAAACACATGCAAGTGGCATTTTCTTTAAATTATTTAGCTCTGGATACAGAATATAATGTAGCTACGTATGCAGAAATCAGCTGCAAATATTTAATTCTATACAGTTTTTGTGGTCTAAATTTTGAGGAAGAAAAATTGTTTCTGAGCAATGATCCGACATGTTACACATTCTGCAATGCCAAGTCTTGAGACAGGATTGCTGCATCAGAAAAAGAAATTGATTAAGGTTGTGTGACAGAGATTAGGTTGCTAATGGTGAAATGGGTCCAAAATTAGCTTTGAAGAACTCATGGTCTTCTCTAGCCTGCAAATGACTTCGTCCATTAATAACAAATACTAATCTAAAATCCAGCAAAGTAACAAACACTCCCATGCAAAAAGCTGAAAATGCAGAAGCAACAGCATAATCTAATTTTCTATTGACCTCATCAGGATGTGATCATGTTAAAATGTTTAACTTTCCCTTTAGATGAAGAGGGAGGAACTGTTGCTGAAAAGAACAGTCTAGGCAGCAAAACACGTTCTAGGTATGCTACTCTACAGAACTGCCATGATGGGAACAATAACATACTGTTGGAAACAAAAGGTGTTATTACAAAAGAAGTGAAAGTGTTTCTTGATACACTGTATGTTATTTAATACTGTCATGCAGAACAAAACGATTGAAACATTTTTAATGCATTCACAGCTGGGTAACAAATAAAACTCTATCTTGTGCATGCTAGGAGTGGAGGGTCCTCAGAGAAGAAACAGAAGCCAAACCAAAACAAAACAAAAAAGGGTTTACAGTGACCATTCCTGGGAACTTACTCAGAGTCTTTGTTCCATAACCGTCGTCACCTAATCCGGGGATGTCCTGCACGGAAGTCCCCAGAGAGAGCAATGAGAAAGGAAGAACAGCCGCAGAAGAGGAAGGAAGAAGTCAGTGGAGTTGAAATGGATACTACCATGACTGACCATGTTGATTGAGCAATCTGGATCCCTGCCTTTTCTTTCTGAAACAAATTTAGACCCATGGTCTATGGGAATTCACCAAGTGAAAGAGGCAGTGACCATGATACGTGCCTTTTGGAGCTGTGAGGAATAAGGAACAACTAGATGAATTAAGTTCCAGAAACTATCCTCACTGGATAAATTCAGGAGAGAATTATCAAGGAAAAGAAGTGCATATCTGGGCTTGAAACTAGCATATATTTTTAATAAGGCTGGTTCTCTATATGATTTAAGTAAGCAGTAAATTCTCATAGAGGTACACATTCCAAGACCTGATTTACTTCTTTAAATTGTTAGCATGGTTGCTTCATTTAATTTTTAAACTTTCAGTGAAGTTGCCCATGGCAATGTCAAAGGCAAAAGAGATATTAGAAGAGACCTTTTAAAAAGGAATAGTTTAGTTTAGTATTGTGAAAGAAATCACACTTGCCTGATTTTGAGCCAATTCTGATCTAGGAATATTTCTGAGAAACAAGTTTGGATTTATGACAGGTGCCACAACAACTTTGAGGAGCCACAGTTGCACTTCCGAAAGTTAAGGTCACTGCTTTATTCTTCTGAAATTGGTTTTTCCAGGAGTGGAAGGACTAGCTGGATCCAAACTGCAGTCATACATTGGTCACAGTAGTAATACCTCTCCTGCCTACCTATGACAGATATTTGCCTAGATGTGTGGGATACTGGTATCATGCGTGTCACCCATTTGATGTGCTGCTGCATGTGACATCGTCTCCAAGAGGTTACTTACGTTCTGGATCACTTGTTTCCTGCTCACTCTGCTCCTTGCTCTTGTAGAATGGGAATTTTCGTGAAAAGATGAAGTTCTTTTTACGCTTGTCATTGAATGACTGTGAAGGAGAAAAGGCATGGGGCAAAAACAGGGACGTCTAATTGTTGTCACACTCATGCTGACAAAACAACTAGTTTGTAAAAGTGGAGAGAACTGTAGTGACTCAAACCAGTAAAAACCAAGTGGCTTACAAATCAGAGGTGGTTGTGTTGAGGTCTGCAGGTTGAAGGCAAAGCCCTTGGAGACCGATCAATTTGATTCCAGAGGTCTCAAGTCACAACCTTCAGCTCCTTACTTGGAAACGATCATGTTTGGCTTGTTCAGATGAAGGGCTACAGATGGCTCAGCATGCTTTGAGATCAAGTCACCTGTCTTTAATCATAGCAGACTGTGCACTGAATTAATTAACTGGCTGAAAAGAATAGGCTGTAAAGTAGAAAACAGAAGCCTTTGATCTGCTTGTAGTTTGTGGTTTCAGTCCTGTGCCAATTAAAATAAAAAATTCTTTACTGGTAGCTACTGCTGATTTCATAAATTTTTTATTTGGCCTCTTGATCAACAACTTCTTCAGTGTGTTTAAATGCTTTTTTTTGGGCATAGTTTAAAAATATTTTGTTTCAGTTTACACACATATGTTTAATCACTAGGTTTTTCTGTATATACTTTTGGTTTTATGTGATTTAGAGATGGAATTCTGCTGATAAGCTGTATTTAATGTCATGTTAAGCAACATATATTGCTTTAATCCTTCAAATGGGGAATTAATATGGAAGAAATTGTGGTTTTATACACAAGAAACCCTTTGACTTTATAGATAATTGCAAGGACTCATAGCACTGTACTATGTAAAAGCAGGATATGCCTACTTGGGACATTTATTTCAAATACTAAATAAGGACATGGGGTCTCTATACAGTCAATTGAAAGAAGCTGGCATTTCTAGAGGGCACTTATGAAGAGCTGCAGACAGTGTTTGTCTGAAGTGATCTGCGTTGTCAGTCAGACAATGTCCTACACTGTCTCTGAACACATACAATGCCCAGACACAGGACTTTGCAAATGATCACCTCCAACAGAGCAGAGACCTCCTTAAATCATTTAAATGACCAATCTCACGTGTTTGTCATTGCTTGAATTGAATACAACCAGTATTTGTCTCCAATTCTGAAATGGAATACATTTAGAGTCTCAGAAGATAACTTATTTCTTTACATTTTGGAAGCATGATATAAAATGTGATTTAGAATATGCATTTCTGGAAGATGTGTACCAAAAATATTCATTAAAATTGCTGTATACTCGTGTCACAAAAGTTTCATGCCACTTTTACATTTCAAGCATATTTAAAGTTTAGTAACTGAAAACAAAGGAAAAAAAATGCACATGTAGAATAAATGATCCATGAAAATCTCTCAGAGTATGTAAACATTCAATGTGAAATTATTGTGGAGGTCATGCACAAATAATCCAGACAGCATGCAATTTCAAAACAAAGCAAATATGAGAGAAAGCCAAAGGAAAAAGAAAAAAGCACATGAAGGATTAAAGTAATCTGTGGATGAAAGGAGGACTGACATGCACATTTCATCACTTTAATGACCTGAAGGATATAATTAAACTAAAATGTGTTTTTTGTGATAATTTCTTTTATTTTTCTAAAGAAAGGAATTGTAGCACGTTAACATTTCTGTTTGTGAAAATGTTGTTTGTCACGATTCATCTGAATTTGACATAGTAGTACTATTGGCATTACACTTTTAAAGGGAAAAAATATATACACAATAACACTTCAAAAAAGCAAAGGGGTTTTAAAATGACAATCACTTCATTACAGAATGCCATTTCACTTAGGAATTCAAAAGAATGTTATGAAATTGATAAATAAATATGCTCAGTTTCACAGAGGTTTTATGAGAAACAACATTTATATATATTCTTTTTCAATTTTCCCCCAACAGTCTAGAGTAAAAACTTCAGAAAGCACATTTTCACCAGAAAATATACATTCTTTTTTTTACACTTATGCATGATTTAATAGTATGTACCAAATTAGACAGATATACTATAGTGTTATATAAACTTTCTCCTTTTTCAGTTTCAAATACTGGGCTTCTTTTTTAATAAGATATTGTTCTACTTCAATTTGGATGGTCAAAATCTAGCAGTTCATAGCAGATGACTACTATGTGCAACTGTGTCACCATATTTACACCTGTAAAAACCCTTCCTAAAATAAAGCTGACTCTAGTTATATTGACATCCATAAAAATATATTTATGCACGTGAAAATATTTCTATGTGTTAAAAAAATGTGTATATTCATGTTAATGACCATATATATACTATCACACTGTAGTTAGAGTTTTTATCTTTAAAATAAGAAAGAAACTGTGAAATATCATAAAACACTAAAATGGGTCTGATTCTGAAAGCTTATAGAAATAAACAGTCCATGGTATTAACTGAACGGGTGTACCAAGTGCTTATTTTCTTGTACATTAAGTGCATGTTTCTTCACAAGACACCAAAGACAGGAGCCTTGATTTTGGTTTTGTACCCAATATAAATGGGATTAAACTCAGGTTGATGGTCTCCACCTTAAGGATATGAAAATCTGCAGACACCCAGCAAAATGCTTCCTACAGATATCACAATTTATATCATCTCCAATGTATAGAGACAAGGGGCTTGGCAAAGAGAGAAGTGGGAGCCATACATTATAAAACCATGTTTCTATTGTAAAAACCGTGTTAATTCCAGATTTTGCTCTACTGGTGGAGGAGTAGACACCAACATTGAGTGCATATTTTCTTTTTAAAGAAAAGATCATGTATATGAGGAATTTTTGCAAGGTTAAATTGCAAAATTGAGATGCATATATGAGAAATTTTATTCCTATGCGATGGAAAATTTGAGGCATGTCTAATACTCTGAAGCCATAGGCTCCCTATTCTTCTGGAAAGCTGTGAAGTAGGTTTAGGATAAATGAGACAGAGATATTTGCCTATATCTCTCTGTCCGATGCAGAAGTTGCATGCGACTGGAATTGAAATTGTGACAGCAATTTATGCAGGCAGAGTTTCTGAGTCAGTGAAAAAGGGCCTTAAAATGGATTCCCATATAAGTCACAAGTGTGTTGCCAAGAATGATGGAAAAACCTGTAATGGCAAATGACTCAGGCATTTCAGTGGCAGTAAACACCTGTACAATAGATTACTTTCATATGTCACTGCCATCAGTTCAGACAGATTACCACTAACCTAGAAACTGGCAGTAGGCACTTTAAACAGACAAGGGCTGAAGACTAAAAGGCAAATGAAATTTTCAAGGGCTGTTTGACAACAAAACAGTGACATAATTCATAACATTTGAACTGTGATGAAAAAGAGTTTTTTCTCAGAAAAAAAAGTGGAGCAAAGCTTTCACTGATGTCCTGGCTTGAATTCTTGTTTGATACTACTTAGGCATAGACTCTGTTTTGTAGAAGCCAAGGAAAATAATTGTGATGTGCACTCTTGCTTGACCAAGTATCCCCAGATGTCCCCAGTTATGTAAGCCTGGGTTGCACATACCAACCTTCCCTGGTTGTGACAGACATTAAACCACTGTGTGTTTCTTCTTCTCAAGAACTCACTTCAGTACTTTTTTGTGTCAACATCGGTTTTGTATTCTAAGTGCTTTTCCCTAGGCGCAGCAGCCATATATATGTTACTCATCAGCTCATAGGATAGTGGTCTTTAAGGAAAATTTTCATGTAACATTAAATAAACAATCCAATTTCAAAATTTGCTCTACAGTGGTAAACATCACAGAAAACAGTGAGTGTCTCAGTAATTTGATAGTTGCACCATACTGCAATAGGCATCTATATTGTTGTTTACTTTGAGGTTCTTTGCAAATTTTTTTAAAATGTGCTCTTGACAGAGATTTGATTTCTTTATGCTTTGCAGAAGAGCCTAATATCTTGGGGAAAGATTTCTTGTGGTTCTCTAACAGCAACTCTGTCTTCTAAAAGCCAATAAACTCCCAATACTTTGGGAATGCTTTCTTTCGCTATTTCATTCAAGCAATGCTAATCCTCAGTCATGAGCTGGGAAACAGTGTTCAGGGATCACCTGAGAGAAAGCTGTTCCAGAGTGCTGGCTGTGAAATTCTTTTTTACAGGGTGTAGATGAATTTCACATACCATCTATTTTTAGGCCAGTTTGAGCAATGCTTTAACCTAGTTTCTATGTTATATGATTATGTATGTCAGTTTTGTTCAGAGATGGGTCTAGCAGCATATATGAGAAATTAATTTTATTGCTTCTCATCTGCCATGTGTTTTTTTTTATTCTTCTCCTTTAATACTTGGTTTTGGCCTAAGTTAAATGAAAACCCTTACTTACACAGCATTCTACAAAAATATACAATATTTATTATGAACAGTATGCCTCTGCAATTCTTTTCTCTATATTTAATTGACATCTTTTGCATTAGGGACATTCTTTTACTCATTTGGATACTGACTTTAATAAAGCTTTGGGCTTGATTAAAGAGGTTAAACCCCTACATTTTAGATCTCTCCCATCATACCAAAAAGTTGCACTGACACCAGAAAACAAGCTTTTGGACTGTAACAGATTCTCAGTGTTATTTCTCCTTCCAAACATATCTGTTTTTACAGTGGGCTTTTTCACCTGGGAATACTAAGCACATGATGAATTTGAAGTTGCCAGAACAGGGAGGACATGGGGCAAAACACACTTTTGCACATTCTGTCGCACTGTCCCATCTGCAACACCAGGACCCTCCTAAAGTCACTTTGTGGGGACCAGACTACACTATGACCTGGTAGATACTATTGATCAGGCTATGATAGTTTCTTTTATTAAGAATGAAGTATACTGAGGTTACATGACTTGAGAAGTCTATAGGAAAGCCAACATGATTGAGCAATTCTTGCTTTCCTGGTGTAACTTGGCCAACACTGGGTTCACACACAGAAAGTACTTCATGATGTCCATGCAGACATGCAGAAGATAAGCTAAGGAGTTGTTAATGGCAACTCTAAGCCTG